CCCCCCCCCCCCTTAATCACCAATCACGAAGAATTAAAACAGGTCAATCACCAATCACGAAAATATATTCAGTTCAATCACCAATCACGAGCCTGAATTGAAAGCTATCACCATTCATTAAGATAGAAAATTGCCATACTTGCAGGAATTTTTAACATTACCAGAATAATTTATTTCGTGTGTTGAATGACAGGAATCGTCTGCTTAGAGATATTCAGCCATTCTCATTGGTCAGGATTCCTGCGACAGAGACTAAGGTGATAATATATATACGCATCCGAAAACTAGCGAAGTACTCACATTTCCACTTTTCTACCTTCCTTGTTTGAAGAGTTTGTTGAATTATCTCCAGTGAGTGATCGCCTTACAATAATGATGCAAAGTTCGGGATGTTCTAGAACAAATTTCTGTATTGCTAATTAAACAAAGTAGTACCTGAATCATGTTTCAAGCAGAATATTGGGCTCAAATAACGCATCACATTCAAAAAATATGGCCAATCACGCGTAAAGCAAAAGGTATTCCCTACCCTCATTTTCCACCAGCCACAGTTAGAAGAGTGACATTATCTGTGAATATCTAGTGAAAAATCATTTAGTAGGCGTGGCAGAGGGTAATCAAAATGGCCTTGGAGACATAAGCACATTCTGGAAAGTAACCAGAATGTCCTGTACAAACTTCAAATTCACATTCACTTTACCACATTCATTTTACCACAATAAGCTCTAGCTCAACAGCTTTCTACATAGTTAACCCACATAGTCAACAAAAACTCTGCATAAACAACAATACTTTAAATAGTTTTCTTTTTACTGGAGTAAGCATTGAAAATATATATATTTAAAAAATTAAAAGGGGGAGGGAGGGGTTTAATATAATGATTTCCCTTTGACGATCTTCCGCGAACGAAGATCCTTAATCCCTTGAACTACTAATATGAAAATTGCATTTTATTCTTGCTTACATCGCGAACGATCTCCCACTGAAGATATGAAAAGTGCCTTTTTGTCTCGCTCAGATGGCGAATGATCTCCCACTGATGATCTTACGTGAACAATGCCCTCTGAACAAATAACAAAATTGCCTTCTCGTCTTGCTCAGATTGCGAACGATCTGCTTATGATATTATGCAAATGATTCTCTGCTGAAGATATGCCATGGGCAGGGGGAGGGGTTAAAGATAAAATGAAAATTTATATTTTTTAAAAATTCAAAGCAGGAGGGGTTTAAAATAATGATCTCCCGCTGATGATCTCTCGCAAACGAAGTTCGTAAGTCCCTTGAACTAATATGAAAGTTTCTTGCCTCCGATGCGAACGATCTCCTGCCAAAGATCTGAAACTTGCCTTTTCGTCTCACTCAGATCGTGAACAATCTCCCACAAATGATCTTGAGGAAAAAAGTGCTCAGAACAAATATGGAAATTGCCTTCTCAAAATCGCATGAAGATGAAGATATTACGCGAAAGATTCTCAACTGAAGTTGTGAAAATTGCCCTCTCGTCCCATTTGGACCGCGAACGATCTCCATGTTTACGAGCTAAGTAATAGTTAAATGACCTTAAATTGCGCAATGGACATGAATAGAATTGGCAGGTACATTTTTTTATCCGAGATAATATCTTGATTTTTTTCATTGTGTCATCATCATTAAGGACAGCTATCGATAACATTAACAGCGTTACAGTGTACCTGCTGGAGAAGTTTTGGAGTTAAAATGCAAATGAATCAGTATCTTACACCAATTTAAGGTGCAGTTTAATTGACGATAAAAAACAGGGCAGAGCAGAAGCTTATCAAGCTGTCATAGAGTTGATTTAAGTTTACATAACACATCTGCAACATGTTTCACTTATCAACCCCTACCTAGTTACTTACTTCTTGATCAGAACAAATTAATAGGCACTTTATAAGATTGCTGAACACGTAGCAGATGGTTGACCTTAGACGGCAAAAAAGTGTCACAGCACTATTAACCCAGGCAATTTTTATTATGAGGCCTGTAAGGCAAGTAGAAAAAAAAAATTGCTCTTCAACTTGTATGTCTCTGGGTATTGCAGATTGTGACACTTGATAGACTAGTTCCATTGGTAAGTGTTTAAAAACTCTTGATGTATAGATCAAGTTGATTAACCACACTAATATTTTTGTTCCCAATGCCCAAGGTCACCCCTTTATTTAACATTGTAAGCTATCTGATTAGCTAACCTACATTACAACAATAGAACTTTATCACTTCTTTCATTGGAATAAGCAATGATGTAGATACAGGGTATATAAACAAGGAGAATAGTGAACATAAAAATAAATAGTGAAAAAATATGATAGATCAGGCCCATTTCACAAAGTAAAAAAAAAACTTTAGTCAGTTCTCGGGTTTAGTTGACTAGGACTACCATGAGAGTGCTGTAACACTGTTCCTGATAGGGTAAGATATGGGCTTGTGTCCATTTAATGTTGGTAATGCCCATATTTCAGGATTAGTGGTTGAATCGTAATCAGTTTGTGATTGATCAAGAATTGCAGGAACTCAGTACGAATATATACAGATCTGTTAAGAACTTCATGAACTGATTACGATTCAACCACGAATCCTGAAATTTGTCAATTCCTGGCGATTCGTGGGATTCATAGTCTGCGTGAAATAGGGGCATAACAAAGATGTTAGCCAGGTATTCCAACTTAAGTTTTTTTTTTGTGAAAACGAGGCCAGGGGGTAAGTTTGAAATGCTGATGCCTTGTCACACATTCCTCTGGTATAGTCATACTGTCATCAATGGAAAGATGGATGTGATGTTAGCCTACTTCCAAGGAACGGTTGTTACCACTATAAATAAATATAGGAAAAATTAAAAAAGTTCACTAAAGAGGACCATGTTACTCCTACATTTGCTCATCGTAGTAATGGTATTCAGCTCATATCAATGCTTTTCCAAAGAGCATCTTAAACCAAAACAGTTAGGAGATCATGATATCAACAGTTAATTGTTATTACAGACTAGGAATGGTTTACAACTACAAAAATCAGTCTCCAATCAACAGCTTTCAAATACTATAACACAAACTTATATTATATAATACAAAAGTTGCTTTAGTTGAAAAACCGTAGTTATTACTATCAGTGGGTAACTCAAAATTCAGTGATACTCTGCTATATAGTGGCAAAAGTATTGAGAAATAAAGATTTAAGATTATGTCACCACCTGTTTATGTGGCCCGTGGTCCTTTCTTTAAAGCCATGTTTTTAAGGGCAGTGTTAGTAAGTAACCTGCAGGATGTCTTTATACCTCTTTAACAAGAGAACTAACATTCTATATTTTACACAATGTTACAAACACCTAACTTCTATTTCTCTTTACAGGTGGAGATCAATTTTTGAAAATGTTGAAACTTACTGTATGGCAAGAGAATCAACAGGAGACAATGAAAGTTATATTTGATTGGACTAAATGTGAAACCGATCAACATTTCTTCTTGACAGTGACTGAACTGCAAAGTGAAAAAAAATCCATTCACAAACTTTCAAAAAATCAGTTCAGACACACAATGTGGTTCCCACTTGGAAGCTATTATGAGGCTTTCATCTCAACCTGCAAAAATCACAGAAGAGAGAAAAGTAACACATCTCAATTTGGATGTAAAAGACCAGAGGTAATTTCATTTTTCTCATGCACAATGTGTCTACTACAGGGATGCAATAAATAATAGACTCGCCCAACACAAAGCTAACAGACTATGTCCCTTACCAATTAACCATGGTTTAGAGATACAAAAAAATTGTGTCACATTTCCACTCAAACTTGGTCAGCGTATGTAGCTAAAGCACATCTCAGCAATCAGGCTGTTCATGAGTTTCTCATCTGAAGAAGCTAATATATCAGCATGCAAATAACCTCAACTTGTCAATGAATAGAAGTGGGCAGGACAACAAAAGGAGAAACTGGTTAAACATGGTGTTCTAAATACTATTCTTAACCAGGTGACCAACTGAGACAGGTTGACCAAATCTGACTGAAAACAGTACTTCAGTCAAACTTATGTACTTATGTAAACTGTAGATGTAACTATTTTGTAAGTTGAAAATTTTATTTATATCAAAAAGATATTGTTCATGTTTTAAAGCAAGTAAACTACAAAGCCCCTATTCAGTTCACAAATATAATACCCAGACTTGTTAATTAATTTGAATGTAGTCCCTTACTTGTGCACTCGACTCTTTTTATGGCCTTACCTGTAATTATATAACGTAAGTGGACGTGTGCAATTTGAATAATTAAAATTACTATGTACCACCAAATAGTGCAACACAGATAAGAAATACGTATGTAAGACGTTCAGAATTAACATCTGGAGTTCAGATTGAGGGAGACTTAGGGAGACCACTCAGGAGAGCTAGGAAGACGGGAACGAGCCATGGGAGATGGTTTAAAAGTTGGAGACTTCACGTAGATGATGTAGCTAGAGAGCGTCAACAAATAAACCATTAAACTGGTCATTATGTGTCCTTTGGTTTTCTTTGAGCGACTTTAGAAAGCTGACACAAACCATGGAATTGTTGATTGCGTTTTGAGCCTTATAAAAGTTACCATTAAGAAAGTATAAAAAGATTTCATTACACCCCGTGGCATCACATAGAAAGCATCCATGTCAGAATCATTATTCAACATATCACAGAAAAAAGGGGAATAAGATGTTTTATCATTATTTTCAGTCAGTGTTTAAACAACCACTATACCAACTTAGGGTACTAGAGAAAGGTGCCAGCCGTGTCCACGTGAAAATTCAAACCTCAGATCCTAATCCCTCAAGCAAGTGGTTTCATCTTGACTTGGTCAACACTAGCAAACATTACATTGGTGAGAGTCTTCATGTTTGTGGCGATGACAAAATCATAAAATTCAAGCTGAAGCCTGGACAAGAATACAAACTTACAGGCTATGCAATTGATAGCAACGCATATCTTGGTGCATTACGTTTCCGTGCAGGTAAGATAATTATGTATGCAAACAAAAGTCCCACTAAAGATAGGAATATTTATTTTTCTTATTCATTTATTTATCTTTTTTATGTGTGTGTGGTTTTTATCTTAATAAGGACAATACAAAGTCACTGTCTTTAAGATATAATTTTTAAAAAGCCTTCTATAAATGAGCATTCATCACTTAAAAGCATTCAAAACTGCTCAAAACGGACAAGACATGCATGTGAATATTTACTATGCTAAATAGCCTTTAAAATATATTTTAACATGCTTAAAATTGAGTAAAACAGTATTAGTTTGATATGTTTTCAAACAAAAGGATTTTTTTTCTAAAATGTATGTTCTTACTGGGACCTTTCTTTTCATATATAATAATCAAAAAGCATTAATTAATCCTTTTCTCATTTAGCATGACCAATACAGACTATTCATTTAGTAAATTTGCTCATGATTTTTTACCTCAAAAGTATGAATCATCTTTCTCTCATAAAAGGTTAAAGCTGGTGAATAATAGATATTGTTGACTATAACAGCCAATCTGTAATTATGCTCAAAATTTTTCTCTGCAGAGCTGAGTATTTTGGAACTGAGGGAACTGTTGAAAAGGGCAAATATTTTTACAAAGAATCGTGGTGGTAAAATCATCCCATGCAGATACTTGTATCGTAATAAAACTGTGCAATACTTCAAGGACATCTTTCAAAAAGATGGAATAATGAAGATATACAAGAAAGACTACAATGGAGACCAAGGGTCACCAATTAATGGAAAACTTGATGGACTGTTCTTTGCCTCTAACCCTGACCTGCAGACAGGACTTCCTCCTCTCAGGTCATTTTTTGGTCCAAGGAGAGTGAATATCCCAGCATCCGACCTGTTTGTGACAGGCACAAATCTTTATTTTGCTGACTTTTACTGCCACAGGAAAGCACATTATGTAACCCTTGTGCTCACTTTAGCTGGATCAACAGCAGACCAGTTTTGCAGGGGGAGACTTCTTACAATTGATCCCTACGATAACTTATTTTTCATGAAACCCCGGGAAGAACATTCAAGGCGTGTCTATACTTCAGGAAATATTTGGGTTGAAATCTTTTACACGGAAAATATCAACCTTTGGCCTTATCTCTTTCGAGGTTTAATTGTTAGTGTGCCTAGCACAGGTACTTCCAGACCAGAAGGAATTCCTAAGAACCCAAAATGTCACATTTGTAATTTGTGAAACAATTTAACATGTAAGTAATAGTAATTTTCATGAAGAAAACATTTTCTGATCGTGTACAGAAGCAAAAATGCACAGATTTGCAGAAAAATAAAATTATTTAGTGACTTACAAGTTAAAAATAATAAAATGTCGAGGCTACTGAAGCAGTGATTGTATACAATAACAACCAAAACGAATAATATGAATACTGAATCATGCAACTGCAAGGTAATTTTATAAGTGGCACACTGTTATTTACTTTATTGTGCAACAGGCATTACTAGAAATAACAGAAGTAATCAATTAGATCTTTATATTCATGTGCCTAAGTTACAATATTGGTATAGGCAGTTTATGTAGTAATAGTTGTACATTAAAGAAACATTTTCTAACCCTCTGTGTTTTGCCTTATTACTGTCTCTCATACGTGTTACATGCAATGGGTTTAACATTAAGTCCTGAAGGACAGGAACCATGTCATAACATCTGTCAAATCTCTTTATTAAGCGTTTGGACCACCCCCAATATTTGCTTACAAAATTAAATTTAAAATTTTCAATGTGTTACTCAACAACGATTTGTTCCTATCCACAGACATTGCAGTTGTAGTGGAAGTTGAACTCATGGCATCAATTTTTCCTTATTAATTGATATAATGACAAAACTGGGCACTTGGAAGAACTGTTCCAAGTAAACTTTTTGGAAGATCCGTTTGTTATATCTGTACTATGGTACTACCAAATACACATTTTCCTTAATTTTTTTTTGCCCCGCCCACAGACCCCTGTTAACTGATAGTCAATTATGCCAATACTCTTTTTTTTTACAAAAAAAAAAAAAATTTACAAAAATGTCAAAGAGACAAAATCCTTTACAGGGATTCATATGAATCAATTACTTTGTAAATTACATAAATAATCTATTTCACAAAATTTTTATCTCTAGATTAAGTTTCAGTCTTTTCCACTGCTCTCTTCTACATTAAACACAAAAAAATCGATGATAAAGTCTCACCTGTAGATTGTATAAATTGCCAACACTGCATTTCTTCTAACATAAGAGTGTCTATGGTCTAGACAAGCTCTGATAGCTGGCATGAGGGGCTCTAAAAGTTCTGGTTCTTTCAACTTACAGAGGAATCTGAGGGTTGATCCCCTGATAAATTCATTGGGGTGCTGGAGATCCTACAAATGAGAAAGCGATCTATGAGTACAATTCGCTTCATGACTCATCCTATTGGCTATGGCAACAGAAATGGACCAAATACTTCATAATGCATATTTTTTCAAAGTAAAACGTCTCCTTAACTATTCCTCTACTTTGACAATGGATAAAATCAGTCTTACCTTGCGATATGCATCACATACAAGGATGAACTCCTGCAGCAGCTTGCCATCTCCTGAATATTTGGGTACTACCTCCCAGAAGATAAGCAACAGCTTTTTGATAGTGTGGTCTTGTACAGGCATCACAAACCTGATGACAGTCATCAAAAGGCCAGGCATCTTTTCACCATTTAGAATCATCAGGACCACCTTTTTCAAGGCCTCAATCTTGGTTTTCGTCTCTCCTTTCTCTAAAATACAAAATTAAACAATTGTTTAAATCTTTTCAACTTTTTTTTTTGGAAAGTTTGAAAGTTATCGCCACCTAATTCCATATTCTACAGCACACATACAATTATTCAAATTGATATAAGAAGTATTTATTACATTTGTGCAAAACAAACATTTTCTAGCATTTTAAAATCAAATCATATTTTCCCCGAAAACCAGCCAACAGAGAAAAGTTTGATTTGTATCTAAATGACTACACTATAACTAAACTGAAATCAACTTGCAACTTTTATTTACCAAGGTCCTCTTTCAATTTCATTTCGGTTGGTGGCTCTGAATCGGATGGAATATTGATGAGGGTATAACACCCCTGCTCCGTGTTGGCCATAGTGACTGCAAAGAGAACATATCCATTATCTGACTTGTAAAGTAATAATTGTTCATCTTATACATGTTGTACTACAGTTCCATCCAAAATAGCTGCTACAATATTCATCTTTTGAACCTATAAAACTGTCTTACTAAGCATTAGAATACATTTTAGTGATAGTTTGAATCTGCACTACGGAAAAGCATTTTGCAGTCTCTTGGATGATGGCTCCACCCAAACCACCATAGCCTCCAGGCCTTTAGCCAGCAATTTCAAAAAGGGGGTTCTTTTTCTGAAAAAAAATGGACCTTTTACCATAAAATCTTCATGTATGTAGATTAACCCCTCGACCCCCCCCCTCCCCAGCTATGGGCCTGGCCTCTATCTAGAAAACATAACTGTATTGCATGCCATTAAGGTCATCTTAGAGGCTAAAACCCCATTCCCACAGACACCATACTAGTAGGTCTATGTAGATCAATCCAGCTCTCGATGAGTGCAATCAACTTTAATGAACGCCTCTTCTTGTTTCCAACATACTTGAATAATCACAAACTTTTCTGTATTCTACTTACCACCAAGAGGTCACCTGTTTATCTTTTTAACTGATTGCAAGAGTCTCTACAGAGTTGGATTGATCTACTTAGACCAATGCCATCTATGGGAATGGGGCCTAAGCAGCTGTCCAGTCCTCTCTCGATGAACAATATCCGATTTGCAATCAAGTTTAACTTTACATGAAAGTTTCCACTCATGAGTGGTAACTTTCATGTGTCAAAAGTGGTTAGGTTTGTGATGAATTTTAATAAAGTCTACATAACCAATAATGAGTTATTAATATATCAAATTTGGTGCATTTTTTTATCCATCCAACAAACAAAACCAAAAATTATGCGTGTACAGTTACTACTCTTCTCTTTTCATTCACCTTAAATGGGGTAACCCTTGGCTACATAACCAAGGGGAAAGGCCTAACAATATGTATAAATTTATCATTTTCCAATCAAATAGGGTCTCTTTGAAAATTATCCAACAAGGATACAAACAACCACAAATAGTTATCCTGAAATATCATGTACATGACTGACTCCTGTCAGAGCCAGCTTTTAGCCTTATGATTTGGTTTGGCAAATTGCAATTCTACTGACCCCTATTAAAAACCTTTTAAAAAATAGTAAGAATGTACAATAATTTTCTCCTGAACTAAAAACCAATATTTCAACCAGTTTTTTTAATGTTTGCACTTGTGTTACAATGCTATTATGACAATATAGGTTGGCATCTTTATCAATTATCATTATGAATTCATTTCCATATATACCACTTAGCACATTGTCACTTGATAATGATAGTTAATTTTGGATTTCTTACCTTTTTTCTGGCTGTAAGCTCAGCAAAATTTATGTTTGCCTTGTTTCAGAATTCACTGGTTTCAATGAAAAGAAAAATTACTGACTTGAGAAATATTGATGAACTGAAATATACAGGGAAGTTAGTTTACCAGTTATGACACTCATTTAAGTAGGTATATCAGAATGCACTAGAGGCGCCACAGCCAATCTTGTCCTGCATCATCACTGGCCTGCTTGCCTGTGACCAGCAACCACTGAGGCACCTCGTTTAACAACCTATACAAAAATTTCTTTTCACCTAATTTTTTTATACTTTGTGAAAGTATAGAACATTTGTGATCTTATGCAACAAAGCCCATGAAAATAGATTAAGAAAACGTATGTTTCTAAAGTAGCACAAAAGTGCTCAGTGGTCACAGCTTTATGGCTAAAATGGAAGGACACATTTGCTCTAATGTTGCTATTTAAAAAACTGTGATATTTCTATTAATTTAGAGATAATATCAAAATTCCAAAAGTATAATATTCTGGATAAAAAGACCTTTCAGAAGATAAAACTTGTGTTTATATTTGGCACATTCTAATATTTTTCTGATATACCATAAGAAAGAAAAAAAGATTTGGTGCCCGGACCAGCCGTCTTATGTAGCTAAGGCTAGATCTAAAACGGCTGTCCCGGCTGTCTAACACGAGACAAGTAGAGACCCTTACAGACTAAGGCTAAGTCGACAGACATCTTATATTAGGTTACAGGAGCTGGGAGGGTGAACTTACGTCCAAAAACAACGATCATCGTATAGTGTTTAATTATGTAAGTATATATGTATTTTTATATCTTTATATTATTCACAAGAATATAATATAAAAATCATAAAATCAGTAGCAATAAAGCGATATTTTATAAAGCTGCCTGCATTACTTACCTACCGGCAGAATACGTGGCTAAATCTCGTGAAATTAGCGTGGAGGGACGAGACAAAATATCCAAGATAGACTTGTGTTGAAGTAATGCCATATGATGATATTTTGGTATCACCGAGGAATTAAATACATTTTATGACAATCAGACTTTAAATTTCAATTACGCATACATTAATTTTGATAAATTACCGTTGAATATCAGGGTGCGTCTTGTTATAAGCACTCCATCGTACGGCTGTTGTGTACACTAGCTCGTTGACCCATTTAACTAAAGCGTCGCGTCATCCCGGCTCGTGAGGGCAAGAACAAAGTTTTGCTAAACAAGGTTTCTTTTCAAACAAAATGGTTTCAGTTGAAATTTCACCAGAGTATGGATACGTTATTTTAGTATTTGTTGCAACAATTTTCCTGAACTTTTGGCTTGGAATTAACGTTGGCAAAGCGAGGAAAAAACACGAAGTACCTGTGAGTATCGTAAACAATTTTATTTTGCTAGTTTGACAAAACCCCTTGCTTTTTATATTGCGATTGAAAATAATGGTAATAATTATAAACTAGTTGAATAAAATAGATAATATAATAGTGATTTTTTTACCTATTGCTCTTGATTTCAATTATGTTGGGCAATTTCTTTGTAACTAACTGCATATACATGTAGTATCAATTTATCTTCTACCAACGCCCCACTGGCACTGCAGTGCTAAGGAACCAGTACATGTATATTGTTGGATCCTCGATACCATTCCCAGAGACTGTCATACTAACTTTGGATCCAACTATTTCCAAGGGGATTCTCGCTTAATTGCAGTTAACTTAAGCGGCTTAGATGTCCGCCATACCTACTGAAGCTGATATTGAGTAATTAGTTATTGTTTAGCAGCTTTAGTAGGCGTCCCAGACATCTAAGCCACTTTAGCTGAAAGCAATTTAGCGAGAAGATGGACCGTTCCTGTTAGATCGATCTAGGGATGGGAACCCAGTCCTTGGCTGCATGTACATGTACTGGCTATGATCTGTATTGTTTTTTGACTCATTTATTG